AAAAATGATTTGAAAATAGATTGATAGACCTCCAATAAGGTATAGGCTTTTTATTCTTTATATTATCTAATTTTATATCTTTTTATATTCAATAGATAGTTAATAGTTATGGTAAAGATTTTAAATTCGCAGAAAATTGCAACTATTAAAAACGAACGAATTAGAAAGACGCATGATTATAAGTAGACAAGAATCTATAGACAAATCTATAAACAAATCTAGTGGATATAAGGGCTTGTCTATAATATCGAGCTTTCAGTTTTCCTCTCAATTTTCTTTTTCAAATGATTTTTTTGTTTGTTAATATATCTTCAAATCAATTTTGTAGAGAATAGAAAATAATCAAGATAATATTAGGTTATAAAAAGAATTGCAGGCTTCTAAATCATCTAAGATTATTTGTTTTTATTTGATTTTTGGATATAGTTAATATATTTGTATACTCTATTATAATTTTTGAATTGAAAATATATTAAAATTTTGTATACATAGTAAAAGAATTCTTATAATGAATACAAAACTATAATAACAAAATAATTTCAATAAATATATTTAATCCAGACTTTTTTTAATAATAAACTTTAACCTTACAATTGGAATTAATATTAAGTAAATAAAAAGATTATTCATTTTGGCAGAATGGAGATTTCGGCGAACGATTTGTATCATCTGAGTCAGGCCCCGTTCCATCCGATGAGGGTAGAGACCATTGAGTGCGTGTATGAGGTCACTGGTCAAAGCTAGGTATGCCATAAACCTTTTCCGAATCCTGAGTACCCGGTACCCCTTGATTAGAATGGAAGAGTTAATTATTTAGTATAGTAATCTTACGATAACTTTCGCCAGTCCAAAGAAAACACGGAGTAGTATAGTACTGGTACTTGGTACTATACTCACTTATCCGTACTGGTATATCTCTAGGCCTACCTACATACCTACCTACCTACCTATATATCGGGCTGGTATATCTATCCAGAGAGATATGGCGTAACCTGCGAGATTCTAGCTGATGGTCTAGATTTACAGGAACTAAATAATGGAGATCAGCGATGGAAGTTCGATCGGTTGGAGTCAGATATTATATTGGTAGCGTAGCGCATGCGGCGAGGCAGTACTCACTAACGCGTCACGCAGCTATCACAGTTCACCATAAAACAAGTGACTGATCCGTTAAATATTATTTCATAACCTCATTCGAAAGCAAACGTATTTCACCAAGCCTTGTTGCAGGAGCCGATTGAGCATATCCTTCAAAACTTTCTCATAACATCATTAACCAAATCACCACCAAACGTTGCTCCTGCACCAAAGACCGCAGCATTACCGAATTTGGTAGCCATTTTTTTGGCCCATTCATGATGCTTTACTCGTTAGTTTGGATTATTGGCCCTTGAAACCAATAAAGATATGGATAACCTTATGACATACCTTTGGATTTTTAGGGTGTGCAGGATGATTTGGATCTTGAGCTTCTTGGGCCATTTTATTTGGGTCGAAACTGCCGTTGGGATTGTATCGAGGATCGGTGTATTGAGATGGTTGTCCATTTCCTTGCTGTTTCGATGTTAGTGTATCCATCCTTTGAACTTTCACGAATACAGGGGAAATGGGGTCGAATATAATTGGGCTTCTTACAGGAAGTTGAGCCATGATTGATTGGAATTGAGCTGGAGCAACTGCACCACTTTGTTGCAAGTATTCTAGCTCAGTTCGAACGGTATTGAGAGATCGATTTATGGATGCTTGGTCTGGCATATTGACGTTGACTCGTATTTTTGATGTGGTGGGAAAAAAGAGTGACTTAATTGTCTTTTATAACTTGATGTTACCAGTATTGATATCAAAAGAATATGCTACCAGCTGAACAATTTTGCCATGTGTTACCGCCCTAGTTATCGCCATTGCATGCAATAACCCCTCAGCTTGACGAATTCACCTCTACCAAACTCCATACCCTCATACATACACATTCCAATATGCCTAAACCATCACTACGCAGTCGAATCACCCTCAATAATGGCATAAAAATGCCACGCATTCATCTCGGTGTTTACATGACTTCTGGTCACGAAACCGTAACCGCGGTAACAATAGCTCTCTCAGCAGGATATGAAGCATTTGAAGAGCAAGTAGGATTTGCAATCAATAATTGGCTTAATGTCATTCCAGTAACTGGTTTACGACGAAATTAAAAACAAATACAAGCTATGATGCTACGAGGAAGGCCGTAAAGGATATATTGATTTGTATCTGTTGCATTTGGAATGTTGGAGAGCGGTAGAGGATGCTATTGCGGATGGAGAGGTGAGGGCTGGTGGTGTGAGTAATTTTGGGGTCAAACATGTAAGTTTCCTCTCCTATCCCATAGGTTTCGTAGTATGCAATCAGCGCAGTCTCTCTCGATTCTGCAAGAACTTCATGGACTTTCCGCATATCCCATGGCTAGATTACCTTGATATCACCCAATCTACTTGCAGATACGGTACTGATGTTTTTCCTCAAACAGTTACAAGAAATACAATTGAAGTTCATCCCTTCAATACTCGAACCAATCTTACTTCATTCTGTCGATCGAATGGTATTGTAGTCGAAGCGTATGCACCTTTAGCTCGAGCGTTACGAATGAAGCATCCCAAAATCGTTTCCCTTATCAAAGAAATATTCTTGTACTCCCGCACAATTGTTGATAAAATGGTCTTTGCAACATGGTTATGTGCCACTGCCGAAGAGTAGGATGGGGATCTGAAAGAAATGGATGGCCTTGATGAATATTTGGATTAATTGGAATGATTAGCGTTGAATGAACCAACAATTAAAATGTACTCTTCATCACAAATAAAACAATTGAGAAACATCGTTGTCTTTATCGTGCTTTACCTTCTCAAGAGCGCAAATACACGTCCAACCATGTGATCCTGTGATTGTGATTGTGATGAACGAGCAAGCTGGATAAACAAACGATGCTCGTCCTTCCCCAGAACGAAGCATCTCCACGATTGTTATGAAACAAAATCCCATTTACAAACCAGACCATTCATTTCCATCCATCGGGGAATTCCTATAATATTTTACAGCCTCCAATGACCCTTCGTCCAATACCGGAATAATCCCGAATAACCTAAAAGTATTCATCAGAATCCTCCAAAACATTGGCATCTATCCACCCTTCATAAAACATGAGACTCACCCGGTGAGTGAGTGATCATTGATCATTAATGACAGCAAAAATACTTCTTTTACACTTCCTTTACCAAATATTTTCATGGGTACGGTTCCAAGACTTCGGGTTATATAGGAAGCCTGGGAAACGTCGGGAAATCCTGTTACATCCATCCTCTGAGAATTTTCATCCTGGGTCTTGAATCTTGATGTGGCGGAGCATTTTATTTTTCCCATTTTACAGTTCTTGGTGAGGCTCACCAATGATGTATTAGTTACCCCAGTGTAACCTTAACAAGGGATCTTTTACCATGTGCCATACATGCCTCATTGATATGCATTTAGAAAATGTTTGGCGAGGATATTGTACATATCAACCAATGACAGATGTACGATAAGGATTTCTATTTGATTCATCGGTGACACCCGTATTTATATGTTATTGGTTGATTCCAACCTCTTTTCCTCCATTTTCTTAAAGGGGATGGGTAAATCGGTTGACTATTCTAAGTTTGGTATAAATGAATGGGGTGAGTAAATCAAAGGATCAATTAGATTTGATATCTCGACAATCTTCTTTGTTGTCCCACGATTAGAATATGCAATGTAACGACAAGACCGATCACGGTATCGAGAGGGTCACGTCATGTATCAGATTTTCTTCATTTTTCATGGAATATTTCAATTCAGCTGAGAGATTGAAGATTTTTACAATGCAGACGACCATGAAAAAAGTTGAATGAGACTTAATAGGAAAAGAACTTTAATAAGTCACCTATCTTCATTACTTTTTCCACACCCTCCTTGACTCTATCCGAATTTCCAAAGGCTCCAATATCGGAGCCACAAAAAATCATTGGAGAAATGTAAGTAGATAACAATTAGCACATTTGATGGAATATTCGATGGGTCCTGAACCGGCACCAGATGTTACTAGTTCGTGTACCTCAAATACACCCCACCTCGATACAAAAAGGTCACTGTTCCCTCCAGTCTTATTTACTCTTCTATTTCAATCAACGTTCAATTTGCAAATACTGTATATTCGTTTGATACCCAATAACCACCATAATAATCATGTCTAACCTTCCATCTGAGCCTGAGTTCGAGCAAGCTTACAATGGTTTGTCCCTCCATGTGCCCATCCAAATATCATAATTGACTGACTTTACTTCCAAAAGAACTTGCCTCAACCCTCGAGGACTCCACTCTCTTTGAGAAGAACCCAGAATACCGTACCGCCCTCAAAATCGTTTCCATTCCAGAACGAGTCATCCAATTCCGTGTCGTCTGGGAAGATGACAAGAACCAAGTTCAAGTCAACCGTGGATACCGTGTACAATTTAACAGTGCTCTCGGACCATACAAGGGAGGATTACGATTCCATCCTACCGTCAATCTCAGTATTTTGAAGTTTTTGGGTTTCGAGCAAATTTTCAAGAATGCTTTGACTGGATGTAAGTTCTGAACATTTTCTCTCCGTCAAAAGGACATGACTAGGAGACAAGTACTAACTATCATCCTAACAGTAAACATTGGAGGTGGCAAAGGAGGAGCCGATTTCGACCCCAAAGGCAAATCTGACAACGAAATCCGCAGATTCTGCGTTTCTTTCATGCGCGAATTGAGTAAGCACATCGGAGCCGATACCGATGTACCAGCTGGTGATATCAACGTTGGAGGAAGAGAAATCGGTTATCTCTTCGGTGCCTACAAGGCTATTTCAAACAAATGGGAGGGAGTTCTTACCGGAAAGGGAGGAAGCTGGGGTGGTTCTTTGATCCGACCCGAGGCTACTGGGTATGGTCTCGTGTACTATGTCAACCATATGATCCAATACGCAGGCCAAGGATCCTTCCAAGGAAAGCGCGTCGCCATCTCCGGATCCGGAAATGTCGCTCAATACGCCGCTCTCAAGTGTATCGAACTAGGCGCCACGGTTGTCTCACTCTCGGATTCTCAAGGTTCCTTGATCGCAGAAGGCGATGCGTATTTCACCCCGGAAGATATCGGAAAGGTCGCCCAGTTGAAACTCAACAGACAATCCCTCACCACCTTCGGGCACGCTGGAAAATACAAGTACATCGCGGGTGCGCGACCATGGATCCACGTCACAGTCGACGTTGCACTTCCATGCGCCACCCAAAATGAAGTCAGCAAAGAAGAAGCCGAGGCTCTGGTCGCCAACGGCACGAAATACATAGCCGAGGGTTCCAACATGGGCTGCACCAAAGAAGCCATCGATATCTTCGAGGCAGACCGCAAGGAGAAGAAGACAGACGCCATCTGGTACGCACCGGGCAAGGCGGCCAATGCGGGTGGAGTGGCGGTTTCCGGTCTGGAGATGGCGCAGAATAGTGCGCGCATTAGTTGGACTCAGGAGGAGGTCGATGAGAAGTTGAAGGAGATTATGAAGAATGCTTTTGAGAACGGGTTGGAGACGGCGAAGAAATATGTGGAGGCCAAGGAGGGTGAATATCCTTCTTTGGTGGCGGGCTCAAATATTGCTGGCTTTGTTAAGGTGGCCACGGCTATGCATAATCATGGTGATTGGTGGTAGGTGTTGATGAAGATGTTGATGAATGAAATGGCTGGGTAAATAACCTTATGGTATTGGGAAAACTTGTATGTATGTACATATAGGTATACGGCATGATGTGGGAATTTGCGGGTTGGATGGGAATTTTTCTTTCTGTTTTCTTTTGCGTGGGAAAGGAAATTGGGTACAAGTAGCTTGCTTATATATAGATAGTTGGATACCTGGATCAAGAAGAAACAAAGTAAAATAAACTCATGAATCGTTCCTCTTCATTTTATTCGTTGATGGTTGTTGTGATTTGGTGATGTACGAGTATTTGATTAGTTGTTGAGATGGGTATTGGTGTATTGGTAGGTAGTTAGTTGAGCTACTGGAGTAGATGCATCGGCATCTTTCTTGTACTGGGCTATTTTTTTCACTGGGCATGCCTTCCATCTGTTATTTTATTTCGCTTTGTGAGAGAGGTCTGAAGCTCTTATGGCTGCTAACGAGTAGTAGTATGGTTAATTCTTACTATGACTTTGGTTGGACTTATTGATAGGGAAAAGATGGGGAAAGATAGAGGAAAGAGATAGTGCAGCATAGGGTGTGAGGGAAGGGAAGGAAGGTAAGATGAGGTGAGGCGAGGTGACTGTAGCTTAGGTAACTGCGAGTTTATTGGCATGGGAATATGTAGGTGGTAAGATTATGATTTATGATTTATATATATAGTTAGTTTATATCAAACTCAAACTCAAACTCAAATAGCAAAGAAGCGAGAAAAAGGGTGAAAAAAAATAGATGTTTAGAGGAGGGAGGAATAAGAGAATTGAAATCTATGGGATGGGGTCAGATCAGATTATGTGGATGTGGATATGGATGGGGGATGGGGATTATGTTATATGTATGTATTCGAGTATATATATATATAACCGGTCTAGGAGGAAATAATATTCAATGTATACGGGTATTCGAGTATGGTAGTTTGTGGTCGGGATCTAGAGACTAGAGGGGTGTTTATTGAGTTGGGTTTGAGGTTCGAGGTTTCTAGTTTTGGTTAGTATGGTAGGGTTGGATTGAGATATCAAATGAGGTTCTTATACAAGTGAGATTCAGATATTCTATTATAAAGTAATATAATACAAAAAGGGCTCCTCTGCATTAGAAAACAGGAAATATGTACTCGAGTATATATGCCACGTAATTCTAACTGCATCTTTTGTTGCGTTTTCTGGCAACAGTACAATACCGGTATCTGGATTCGACTCACAGATTTAATTTTCTTTGACAGGGGGCAGTGGTGAGTCTGGGGAATATGGAGAATCTGTACTGTAACGTTATGATGAGGTTATCGAAAGTACTCAGTAATTGGAAGTCCATTGTCGATCTTTCTTTCATGGTATGAGATGAGGTGAAGTGTAAGGCACTTAACTTTACGATATTTGAAAATAGGTATATCTTGAAGACATCGATCATAAGCGCGAGCATTAGATTATAGAAAATCTATTCCTTACTTTCGCATACAGATATCATCTAAGGTTACTGTAACGAATTACCCCGGATCTGTAAGCCGGCTAGAAACTTCGTTAAAGCTACCCCTGAAGGCATTTGTTTGTTTATTCGACCCCGCTTCCCTCGGAAATTATAAGGCAGGCAGAAGGACGGACAGAAAATGCGGCTAGGTTCTGATTCCGGGTATAGAATGCTCTTCTTTAGTCTTCATTGGGCTTTCAGATGTATTCCTCATATAAGAGCTGGTGGAATTAACGACTATTAGTATTTGTACCTAGATTACAGCCATCGTCTACCACTACCGTTCATCTCCAATGTGTCTACTATATCTATACAGCGGCTCCATATCATTCCTGTTTCTCTCGAATCTCGAGTCTCCTCTTATACTCCTCACAACTCAAGCGAATCCCCTCCTCTAAATCTACTCTTGCTTCATATCCTAGAATTCTTTTCGCCTTCTCACCACTCGCATATCTTACAGCACAAGCATCATTCGCACTGCCTCTGCTCAAAGTATGTTCTCTCGACCCAGTCAACCACGACGCCACTTCTGCCAACAAGCCCGCTAGCCAAGCTAAGCCATCCGGTATTGTCACTTCATAGGGTGGAATATGTCCAAATTCTTTCCATATAGCTAGACTGAAGTCTCGAAATGTGATTGGAGTATTGTTTTGTATGAAAATGATTTTTCCGGCAGCAGTTGGAGTACTCAAGAGAAGATTCTCGGCTGCAAGAACGTGAGCATCGGCGACATTCGACACGTAGGTTATGTCCCAGAGATTATCTGCCGATCCAATAATGAAGGGGGTTTCGCCTTTTGCTATACATGCATGAATTGGAGGAATTAATTGATGGTCGAAGGATACATGTTGAGAAAGTAGGGGAATTAGCCGCAAGAACAATTTCCTCTGCCGCAGCCTGTGATTCGAGTTAGGAGAGTAATAATTCACCATATATAGACGATCTTTTCGCCGTCGGCCATTTCTCATCGATATTGGGATAAGGATGTGTCCAATCATCCATCACACAACAACAGCTACTTGTATACACAAATGCACCTATTCCAGCAATTCTTGTGGCATTCAAGACGTTACGAGTTCCTTCAACATTGACTTGTTGGACTTCGTTCTCTATCCGACGGTGATATCTTTCAATCAATGGTGGAACTATTCCTGCTGTATGAATAACGACATCCGGTTTGAACTGACGAAGCACACTTTCCAAATCCTCGACGCGTAAAATATCACGGTATATAATCAATGTTAGAAGGTAAATTCGACCTCTTTGCCAAATCGAAGACATCGTCACAAATGTCCAGAGCTTTGATGATACAAGAAGGGTGTTTTTCATGGAGAGCGTTGATAATGGCCGAACCAACAAAACCAAGACCACCAGTGACTAGAGCACTCCGAATTGCCATCTTACAAGTCAATCGTCTCTACAAGTAAGACAAGGAGACAATGTGAAAGATCGATAATGGATTAACAACGGAGAACTTCACGGGAAGTGCGGGGGATCGTCTTTTCTATATGTCAAGCTATGACTGTCATACCTTCCCGGCCGGAGAGAGGTCCGAGTCTATCATTACATATTACTACTACCGCAATTCGAATTAGTCCCGTATACCTCAGAGATTCATGTCTCACACAAACGTCTCCCCTTCTTGATTTGGAGAGAACTGGCAAGGAATGTACTTAGCATGCCACATACCTAATTAGACAATAAATAGATGTCGTTGTATGCTCAAACATGAGGGTCTATCAGCTCTCAAATGTTTTGATGGTGCTAATGTGCGTGCTCGAGTATTCCCTTCATGAATGCAGGTTTGATAATGTCGTTGGAATCCAGACTTATCTCACAAACAGGGCTGATAGTGGGGTACAAGTCTTAGAATGGAAGCCCTGTAATTCGTTACGAAGACCCCTGCGAACTTCCAGCCACACGCTAAAAGTATGACTAATGTATGTTTCTCAATTTTCAACCAGAATGCAATGATACTTCTTATGATAGGAGAGCTTGACAACTTCGATGAAATATGACACCTACTAGTATTACAGACGATGGAGATCATCCTCATTCCGATGATACGACATCTCACACGAGTATAGGAAAACGATCGCGTGACCAGATGGAAAGACCACAAAGGATACCTGCTTCGATAAAGTCTTGTAATGAATGTAGGCAACAAAAAGTAAGTATCCATTGACTCAGGAGTAGTTGTTGTACTGACCTATACCTTCCTTCAGCTTGGTTGCAATGTTGTGAAGGAACCATTTAAGTCTTGTTGTAGATGTACTCGTCTTGGTATCCAATGCAAATTAGACTCTGACTTCAAAAGGGTGGCAAAAAGGCAGTATGATCATATGAGAAAATGGCTTTGGGATGGTACGAACGCTGATGAGTATACAGTAAGCATTCAGAGATGCAAAAAGAGATAGAGGAGTTAAGGGCATTGGTCGCAAAACAATCAGCACAACTTGCTGCCGCGAACTCTCCAGATAACTCGGGAAAGGAAAAGACCGCTTCTTCTTCTTCTTCTTCTTCTTCTTCTACAGAAACGAAACCAAAGGATCAAAAGATTGATGACATTCTAGTTTCTGGTGAACAACTTGCTTTCTTATTCGATCAGTTGAGTCTCTTCACGTGATTAAACCCCCTTGAACTCGAGCTCATTCTTTTCATGTAGGTATTTCTCTCGATATCATCATATATGTCCAATTCTTGATCCTAGTCAAACATGTGATCAGACCTTCGCTCAAGGTCCAGTACTCGGATGGGGAATTGTTCTTGTATCAGCTAGACGTTACCCACAGGATCCTACTTTAGTCCTGAACCTATCGAAGGCTTATATGAAGTTTTTATGGAATTTTATATCAGATATGCCGCAAAGATTAGCATCAATAAAAGCTCTCGCATTATTATGTACTTGGCCGGTACCTTTGATTCGGGGTTTCACAAAAAGTAGAAATGATAAAGCTTCAGCTACTATGGGATTGAGTGAGTTGGATCCAACGTCGATGTTGAGTGGAATCATGATGCAAATTGCTCTACAAACGGGAATGCATCGTCCTCATCATGCACAGGATTTCCTTAAACAGACAAGAGATGTATCGGAAGCTGAATTGAGGGATAGAAAGTTGACATGGGCGATATGTAATATTGTTTCTCAGAGGTTTGGCTCAATTTCTATCACAACAGAGTTGACGAACTAACATTCAAATCAGCGTGTCGACGTCCAATGGTCAACCTTCAATAACTATTTATGATTGGGGGCTTGGTGATGGGCTTGAACAAGATTCCGAAATACTTCCACCAGGTATCAAACATCGATTAAAGATTGAGAAATTTTGTCAGAATGTATCCAGAACGTTATATGGAAATAGTTCCGAGGTGACAGGAGTTTTATCCGATGTTGATGAACAATCATCAGTCACTAATATGCTTGAACTTCAATATCAACAGTTGGAGTCAGAGAGTGTGACGTTCTCCTGTAAGCCCCTTTTCTGGCCATTCTTCAAACCCCGTCACATTGCTCACAATCTTAGCACTGAATAAACTATACCTACTTGCAGCTCGACTTTATCTACACACCTTTGCATTTTACATACCCGAATTCTCACGCAATCATTTGAAAGCCTTATCTTCAGCCTATAATTCCGCCACAAGGTTCATTGAAGCTCTCCTTGACTACGATCTTCATTCCGAAGCAATCCTTCCCTATTGCTCATATTACATTCTCAAGAATTTGATCTGCGCATCATGTGTTCTTTTAAAGATATTAAACAGTACGTATGCCATGCAATTTGATAGCACACAAGGGAGATCTCTCTTCAATGCCACAATTTTAGCATTGAGATCCACGAGTTTAGCTGCAAATGATTATTCGGATCGTATTGCTGAGGCATTGGCCAGGATGTGGAGGAGTGCTGGATCAGGAGACTTAAATCGACGACGAGAGGACTTCTCTCCTATAGATATCAAAATTCAATCTAGACTGTCTATAAGTCATGTACATGATTGCTTTTTACGTTGGAGGAAAACCATTAACCCTCCGGCTACCACCAAAAACAGTAAATCCCCCTCCTTTTTCCCTCTAATCTTGATAATCCTAACTCTCGAATAGCCTCGGAGACTAATTGTAACGACCCTATGAAGAATTCCAAGACTTCATACACCGCCATGAATGGAGATGTATTACAACAAGAGCAAGCTGCGACTGCAACATATTTTCAGCCGGGTTCACTCGAAGAAGCGATGAGTTTTCCACCCATGATTGCGGATTTTGATTTGTTGAATTCGTTGGATTGGAATTTTGATGACAATTTACTCACTACTTGGACGTGAGGGGGTGGTGTCACCTGTGTTTGATGGCATTAACGAATTTTCTGAGGTGTTTTTTATTAAATAGTCGATGCTTGGCTGGTTATATTTGAATCTACGCCAATTCAGGGGTAGCGAAAGGCGCTCACATACCGGCTTTATAATTAGGATGGGTTGCTGGTATGAGGAAACCGAGGTGTGTTAGTTCGGGGTGGATTATCTGGAATATGGGACGAATCAGGAGAGTGTGCCAATGGAATGGACCATTATTGAGAGACTTCGAAATATAGGATGTATAGAGACGATAACCCGTCAATTATTCTACATCCGAACTCATAGCCATATCCACCAAAGACGTCTTTACGCAACTGCCATTACACCAAACCAGGATTTGCCTCATGTCCTTTAGTTCATCAAAGATTGAAACAAAGATAATTATAATCCGAAATCATAACCTCATATCAAAAACAAAATCATGCATGTCTTAGGCCTTGATTGGCTCGGTAGTGTGAGTTTTCGCGTTTATCAAAAATGGAGTGTGCACATAGATTCCCATTTCTAAAAATATCATTTTTTTTTAAAATATAAGCCTTTATTTGGTTCATATAACATTTTTTATACACATACTATACAATAATCTGTAGATCCTTTCTAATTGAGCTATAAATCTATACTATAACATTAATAACTACCCTACAACTTGTGACGGAACAGACGGCTCTCTTCCGCCCACTGGCTCATACTACATACGTAGCATGATACGATGGCTCTTTTGGACCTTCCTTTCACAGCTTAGAGCCCTAGCTCTATAGCTCTAGACCTAGGCATCGTACGATGCTTACCTCTAGGTCTCTTTCACCCTTTTGGGCCTAACCCTTATGGCTCCCAATACCTGTATATATAGTCCTCCTTTTAGCATCCTACATAGCTCTTCACTTGTAGATTCTAAGTACACAATCGGAGTCCTGTTTATACCCTTTTGGTCACATAAATATACAAATTAATCTTTGAACATCCTAAAAGAATCAAGAATAATTTAGGGATTTCCCAAATTAGATTTTTATTTGTGACCAAAAGGGTATAAACAGGACTCCGATTGTGTACTTAGAATTTACAAGCGAAGAGCTAGATAGAGTAATAAAAGGAAAACTATATATATAGATATTGGGAGCTATAAGGGCTAGCCCCAAAAGAATGAAAAAGTCCTAGAGATAAGCATTGTATATAGAGCTATAAAGCTAGGGCTCTAAGCTGTAAAAAGAAGATACAAGAGAACCATCTTATTATACTACATTGTTGGAAGTTGAGGTTATATGTCACGTGTTCTACACCTATGCCTACCTTACCTTACCTTACCCTACCTTACCCTAGTTCGAATAAATGCCTTAGGCATTCATCCATCATATAGTTAGGGCTGCTCTATGCACCTCCTCCTCTCCATACGTTGTACAATATATCTTTCTGTAGATAGTCAATAATACTGCTATTTCCATTACACTATAGGGCATCACTTTCTAATATATATATATAATATAAGCCAATGGATAGAAGGAAGCCATCTGTTCCGTCACAATTCCCTATTACCATTCCTCTAAGCCCTCCATTTGTAACGATATAGATTATCAGTTGTTCTTAAAATTAAAATTAAAATTAAAATCACCTATATCCCAACAGGTTTTTTACTACCCTCCTTCAGGTTCTAATTTCCTTCGCCTTTTGGTCACAATACCCTCCTTACCCATAATCTTATTATGAGAAGATTTCTAATTTTGAACTTGATGTGACCAAAAGGGTATAAACAGGACTCCGATTGTGTACTTAGAATCTACAAGTGAAGAGCTATGTAGGATGCTAAAAGGAGGACTATATATACAGGTATTGGGAGCCATAAGGGTTAGGCCCAAAAGGGTGAAAGAGACCTAGAGGTAAGCATCGTACGATGCCTAGGTCTAGAGCTATAGAGCTAGGGCTCTAAGCTGTGAAAGGAAGGTCCAAGAGAGCCGTCATATCATACTATGTATGTAGTATGAGCCAGTGGGCGGAAGAGAGCCGTCTGTTCCGTCACAATTGTGATTATTGAATAATATTTTGAAATGATTGAGTAGTGAAAAAGTGCGCGAGGCACTGATATGCGCGACGCACTGATAAACCACGTTATATGGATTTGTGTATATTCTTTAATTTGAGCTAGACGGATTTTTGAAAAGTGTGCATTTTTATATATATAACGTGGTTTATCAGTGGGTCGGCCACTTTTACCTCGATTTATTATTCTACACTTAATACGCGTTTTCTTAATAATTAATTATGGAAATTCATTCTAAAGAAGCACGAATAATCTTAGCTATTAAGGCTATTGAATCAAATCCAAAATTAACAATTCGGAAGACAGCTCAGCTCTATAGTGTGCCTCGATCTACATTAGATGATAGAATTCGAGGTAAACCTAATATGGCTGAAAGTCGACCAAAAAGCTATAATTTGACTGAATTGGAAGAGGAGGTTCTTATTCAATATATACTCGATCTGGATGAGAGAGGATTTGTACCTAAATTAAGTGGTGTGGAAGATATGGCGAATTATATACTCGAATCGCGGGGTGCGAAGAAGGTTGGAAAGCTCTGGGCTCATCGCTTTGTAAAACGATGTTCAGAACTAAAGACGCGTTTTAATCGCGTTTATGACTTTCAAAGAGCTCTCTGCGAAGATCCAGAGTTTATTGAAGGGTGGTTCCGATTGGTATCGAATATGCGGGCAAAATATGGTATTCAGGACTGCGACTTCTACAACTTCGATGAAACCGGTTTTATGATGGGCGTAATATGCCCCGGAATGATTATAACTGGTACTGAACGATGTGGCAGAAGCAAAGCAATACAGCCAGGCAATCGAGAGTGGGCTACAGCGATTATATGTGGTAATGGAGAGGGTTGGATTATACTACCATTTTTAGTGGTGCAAGGACAATATCACCTCTCTAATTGGTATACGGAAAGCGATTTTCCTGCAGATTGGGTTATTAAACCTACTTCTAATGGATGGACGAATAATGAGACGGGTTTAGATTGGATAAAGCACTTCGACAAGTATACTATTCATCGAAGGAAGGGCAAATATCGAATGCTAGTATTGGATGGGCACGAAAGTCACGAATCAATACCTTTTCAGTTATATTGCAAGTCAAATGATATTATATGCGCAAAGTTACCACTGCATTCAAGTCATCTAATCCAACCACTTGACGTTGGATGTTTTAGTGTATTAAAACGAGCATATGGTTCACAAATTGAAGGATTTATCAAGGCTCATATCAATCATATCTCTAAGGTTGAATTCTTTATAGCTTTCAAAGCTGCATATCAACAATCGATTACAGTTCAGAATATGAAAGCTGGCTTTCAAGGAACAGGACTAATACCATTCGACCCTCAAGCTGTGCTCTCGAAATTGGATATTCGAATTCGTACGCCTACCCCTTTACCCATTCCCTTGGAATCTGCCGATTCTTGGGTCTCTCAAACACCTCATAATCCAACTGAAGCTCTTTCACAATCGACTTTAGTAAGATCTCGAATTGCTCGACATCAATCAAGCTCTCCTATACCTATATTCGAGACTGTAGCTGCTTTGGCTAAGGGTACAAAACAACTAACTCATGAAGTTACACTTTTAAGTACAGAGAATTGTATACTTCGAAAGGCAAATGAGACATTAAGCAAACGTCGATGTGCTAAAAAAGTTCAACTACGGAATGGAGGAGTACTTACTGGACAGGAAGCTGAGGATATATTATCACAACAAGAGGTAGAGGTTCAGATTCGACGCGACGAGCATCAAAATGGGAGAAATTCTAATGGGGAATCTTCTACTAGTCGATGCTGTAGCAAGTGTGGAAAGACCGGTCATAATTCAAGAACTTGTCAGAATGATGTAATAGATCCTAGTTTATTAGATTCTTAACAGTTTTAATCGATTCATTAAATTGTTCTTGAATAATATAGCTTTGAAGTAATAAATCGAGGTAAAAGTGGCCGACCCACTGATAAACCACGTTAGTGGAGTACGAAAAATTATTTTGGTGGTACACTTTTGCGTACACTACCGAGCCAAACAGGCCCTTACCCATCCAAAGAATCTACCCCACGCCACCCCCACCCATCCCATAAAGTCCCACTGTACTCTACTCAAAGTCTCAAATCTTCGACCCCCCGCTACCCCCCTCCTCTTCCGTATCGCCGTCAAAACCACAACCCCAATATAAAACAACCCCATCACTGCCGCAACCACACCATAAGCAATCTCTCCACTCTTCGTATTGCCCGCCAACCTCAATCCCAAACCCCCATTAATGACAGCGAGCACGATTAGTATTCTGCCGTACCATAAATGCATCCATCCAAACATTCCTCGCTTTTGCATTTTCATGTAGCGCCAGTGGTGGATTAGGCCGAGGAAGGGTTGGATGAAAAATAACACGACGAGAATGATGCCGAAGATCATGTGCGTGGTGTTTGTTATCTGGGGTTTTGTGAGTTGTGGGTTTTGGGTTGTGAAGTGTGAGTTAGGTGGGAGAGGGGGGAGGGGGGGGGGGGGTGGGGGTGATACGAGGGAGATACGCGGGAAGTGCGAGGGAAAAGGAATCTTACAGTGGTGCCTAGCGTTGGGGTCACAGCCGCGCCTGTAAGGGCAGCAGTGCCAGAATTTGATGATCCGGATCCAGACCCAGACCCAGAATTCGACGTCGGTCGAGTATATCCAGCAGTCCCAGTAGCGGTAGCAGTACCCCAAGGAGGAGTCCCAGTCAACGTACCCGACGGAAAACCCGACGAACCAAAACCATCAAATTGTCTCCTAGTAACTTCATCAAATATGGCACGAGTATTCAGAGAGGAAGCGTCAAATGGGCCATATTTTAAACCCGCAAGTTTGATTCCCAATCCGAGACCTACGATTAGGAAGATGAATGAGAAGATTTGGAGAGCGGCGTGGAGCCATGGTCGACCGAATATTCGCATGGAGAGGGCGCCGAGGGGGAACAGTAACACGACTGTTACACCCATGATTATTCCGTGCGCTTTGTCGTATGTTTGCACGGGAGAAGATCCGCTGGATACGGAAGAACTAGATGATCCCGAGGAGTTACCACCGGATCCGGATCCGGATCCGGATGCCGAAGTTGTTGCTGCAGCTGTTGACGTAAAGGGGTTTGCGTCGGTACTCAACTGCGCTTGCGAGAGATCAAAGGTGAATTGCTGATGATTCGATCCCGAATGTTGCTGAATACTTGCCGAAGTATCCGTGGTATCTAGTGCAGCCCCAGAATTCCACGCCGCGATCCAATTTGATGATGTCGATGTAGTGGATGATAATTTGGAAGCACAGCTTGTGCAGAGGACATTGGCGATCATATTTCCGTCCACGATACCACTGCCGGAAAGTAATTCGATGGTCATGCTACTATCAAATTGGGGTTCGACTTCCCCGGTGCCTTTTCGAGGGGAGAGGGTCACGTTTCCGGTGCCGTCGGCATACATGACGAAGATGGTACTTCCGGACATTTGGGAACCAATGCCGAGGGCGACCCATTGATATGACGAAGGGGCCGCGAGTTGAAAGTAGACATTGTTTGAGTTGCTTGAAGAGATTCCGACAGAATACGAGGGACCACTAGAGGAAGTAGAATATGTTGCGAGAGAATAAGTGGTGGGAACTACGATCTCCATTAGCGGAAATGACTGAAGTTTGGATTTGCGGATACTTACCGATGCTTATGATTGAGGCGAGCAGAGGTACAAAACTAAATGGCCTCATGTTGAAGATGGGAATTTATTATATCAGTTCACGATGTGATGGTAAGATTGAAGTAATCGGAAGAATTGCAACCAGGAAAGGGATTACTGGTATCTAATATACCAGATCGTAAGTCTCCAAAATAAGCAAACTCACAATGAAAGGCTGGGGTGGCTGTGACTAAACAAACACAGTTGAAACAGAACCCGCATCTGAACTTACTTTCCCGCTTCGTTCTATTGGTAGTATATCAACAGTTTCATACAGAAATAGCGTTTTGGACGTGCGGATTAATATTTGTGGCTGTGTTATTAAAAAGCACTAACTTCGAATATACTGTCAAAACTCAGTCTGGATAAGCTTAGTCCTAATATGGATTAAGGTTTCGATGGATAAACTTTGACTATATATTTTTATAGGTCTTAATTGGCTAGATTAAAAGTAAATAAAAAAAATGATGGATATCACAGATTCTGTTACCAATAAGAGCCTTGATCAAAGATTATATCCACCAAAACCTTAATCCATATTAGGACTAAGCTTGAAAAGTCATGAAAGTTTGACTGTAAGATGAGTTGATTCAGCCACTGGCAAGTGATTTCGATAGTTATTGGGCTCACGCCTTGTTTTGTGTGGATAGCCGTGACGATATGGCAGGGTGAGAGAATATTGATTACGCGTCTATACATCTACTAAGTAAGTATATGAATTATAAGTTATTGAATATGAAAGATAAAATGCTTCAAAATGAAGTTAATTTGGAAGGCAATAATTAAATTAATAATATCAAAATATTATATTATAATAGCAAAAGTGCCCAACCCTACTTTACACATCCATTACACAAAAACCATTCAATTACTCAAGGACGTAGGCAATTAGTATTATGGCCGGCCCAAGCGGCCGGATTCAAAGCTCGTATTTATACGTTTTATTATAATGCTAACCTGCTTTACGTAAAGCGCCCAACCCTAATGTGAAGTGAAGTTGGCGAGGGACTTTGTAGGAGGCTGATGAATCGGAGCTTGATGTTGGGGAAGTCCGAGTCTAACGAAATCCTTGTGTGCGGAAGTGACGCGATGTATCCGGCCAAGTGGGATTGATCAGGCACCCGCCTGATCAATCGGTCGATTAAAACATAAGATGAAGAGGTTGAAGATGTTGGGAAGATTGATTGAACGAGGAACTAAGTTGTATAGAAAATGTGGAAAACTTTCTACATGGATACGAACAAGATCCAAGATCCTTTTGGAGGTATTCGTGAAGGACATGAAGTCCTTCTCGATTTCGACATTAGATGATGGGGAGCGCAATGCAAAAAGCGCACGAAAGAATGGTAACGAGGATAAAAGAAGACATAAGTAGAATTATAAGGTATTCGAGATCGATGGGTCAACGCAGAACGAAATGAACAAAATATGGCCATGGCCCCTCGATTATTACTATGCCTCACTCGAGTGCACATATACATACTTCTTTCCAAAAGACTTTCATACATGTGTCCTAAGCGGAATCCAGGACTCCCTTTTTCTTCAGTATTAATTTGATACCGTCGGTCTCCCGTGGCTAATCATCAACAGATGCATTATCCAAACATGTGAATTTAGACGTCTTTGGTTCTAAGAAGTAACGTCATATCTCACTTTCTTCGCGCGAGATGTATGGGAGATGCGAATCGCGAGCCGCTGAAGTCAAGCCGAATGGAAAGGGCCACATCGTTCCTGAGCGCTCTTCATTAGAGTTTATGTTTCGTGCCTCGTCATGCTCGAAGACGTTGGGTCTGGTGTCTGTCTTCCTTGGCCGGCCTGTCCTGTCCAATCACTTCGCAAGAATGTGAATCTTCATTCTATTCCGAACTCTTCCGACTATTTCCTGTATCCCCCCTGATTCAGTAACCCCAATCTCTCAAGTTCCCAGCTCAATATTCTCTTCTTTTTAAGCGCCCTGATATCATCTCCAGCTCTTTCATGAGAGCATATAGTGATCCACTTGCTCTTCTCGCGTTGTCTCCCGCCTCTTTCGATTTGAGGTTTACCGTAACCTCGCTTGCACTCGGTCCTCTCCTACATGAATCTCTTTGTTCTTGTTTCATCTCAAATGAATAATTCTCCTGTGTCTTTGATGTTTGAGATCCCATGTTACCCCATATTTTTTCAGACTGCCGATCGTAAACATTTCGCTGATCCCCATCTGACAAGACTTCGTATGCGGTTCTGACCTTTTGACACATCGCTTGATATAAGGCATGAGATCAGGATGAGTGGTACACTTGAATGCCAAAATACATTTGAGACTGTGATTATATACCTATAGAAGCCTACCATAGCGTAAATACAACTCTTCTCCATTGCTTTGAGATGGGAAGGCGCGCACTCCACGATCCTGCACAAACATTTGTGATGTCATCACGTTTAATATGATTGCACCTGATCCATATCCTCTCGATGGTACCTACTTAAACATGTGAAGGTAGACTGTGCTTCCATGACCCGAGACCCCTCAACCTACTGAGAACTTATCATTGATTATGACGTGAGACATACCTACCCAGTGCGACAAATAATGATGACTTGAACGGTGGCCATCGGTACATTGAGATGTCGCAGTCATCCGGATGAGCGTCTCGAACTGTCTTCCTGGTTGCTTCGAGATTAGCGCGAGAAGTAGTTCTTCAAGGTACAGATGCAACATGATCCGCCATATTCCCCAACGATGGACTGCTGATTGAGGAGTAATAATACTACATTGCTGGTGAAATGAAATCTGTGAGATGACACCACAAGATGCATGTATCGATAATAATATGACAGGAAACGGCTGCTACGATCAAAGGTTGCTGGCCAGTGTTCCGCCAATCTCCCCTTCCCCAATCGCCAGGAGTTACGTGCCAAATTACTCATGATATATTCGAGCCCTGCTTGAGATTGCTTGTATAGTCGAAATTTCGAGGATTGATTGTGCTATGAAATGTCAGTGAATGTCCAAGGTGCTTGAAGAAATGAATATCCCATGGAAGCACTGGCAATATCACAAACAAATGAAGCGCAAACCAAACTTACCAGTCAGTATAAGCGATCAAAATGAAGAACAGTCTTCCTACATCCGCCATACCATTTGTCGTAGAAACCTCGTAGTCGTCATGAATCCGCATACTACCTTCTGCGTACCTGCATGTGAGTATTATTTATGCTATGATTTAATCGAATTGAGGCCACCGATTTCGGCACAAAATGTTTCGAGCGTAGGGATGTGTGCCGCTCATGCTGCATTCGACAGATATCGTGACAGTGAAGGTATCTCATGAGTGTAAAATTGGGACATGGCGTCTCGCCAGCAAGGGATTAGAAGTCTCGTCAAGCAAAGTGGCTATCGTAGGTCCCAGAAAATGAAGAGTAAAATATCGGAGACATGGTGGGATAAGAAAACACCTACCGTCATACACCTACTGGCGTATACCTACCAAGTATAAAGAGGCTGTCGAAGTATTCAGGGCAAAGTCCGAAGCTATTTCCTTTCACACGAATCGCGAGTGGTTGTGGTTCTGTTTTTACAATTTTGGATGCAGTGGAAAACCCATGCCCGGCGAGACTTCGGGAATGATAACTAAGCAGTAACTACATCTCCCCCTCTCGACCCCTCCGTTTGTCATTGTACTATGTAGCCCGCAGCAACGGGATGTAAAGATATCTAGACAAGGAATCATGATCGAAAAACAAGTCACAAATATTTTGGGAATCTCACCGCCACTAATAAATTCAGCCAATCCTGTGAGTCCATCCACCTAACATTTCGAGGTGAAAAGCTTCCCTACTGAAGGTTGGAAGGCCATGTGTAGTCTTCTAAGACATTGTGCCCGTGGTGTCACCAACGATTTTCCAGAATGCACTCAATTGTGGTATTCCATTGAGCTGATTGCCATGTCTAGTGGGCAACAACCAAAGCAGACCTCCTCGCCCTTTACAACAGTCCTCATAAGTCG